TAACCTAAGAAGCTTTAGAAAAAATACTAGCATCCCATATTTTTAAAATCAGAAACTCCAGGTTGGGGATTAAGCAGTGATATTTGGAAAAAAAATAAAAACAAAACACAAGCAAACTAACAATAACAACAACAAAAACCTTGCCAACTTATTCTAATTTGTAGCCATGTTCGAGCACCATGAACTCACTTGTTTTAGTCCATTCAGGCTGCTATAACCAAAGTCCTTAGCCTGGATAATTTATAAACAATGGGAATTTATTTGCCATAGTTCTGGAGCCTGAGAAATGCAAGATGACCATACCAGCTGATTCAGACTGGTGACAGCTGGCTTCTCATAGATGGTGCCCTCTCACTCTGTCTTTGCATGGTGGAAGGGGAAAAAACGATCCTTCAAGCCTCTTTTAAAAGAGCACTAATCCCATTCATGGGAGCCCTTATGACCTAATCTCCTCCAAAAGGCCTCACCTCTTAATACCATCACATTGTGGATTAGATTTCAACATAGGAATTCTGGAGGGACACAAACATCCAGACTGTAGCAATAGCATAGATTGAAAATCATGATATGCTAACTTCCCCTAAACCCAGCACACACTTTATTTCTTTCTTTCTTTTCTCTTTTTTTTTCTTTTCTTTTCTTTTCTTTTCTTTTCTTTTCTTTTCTTTCTCTTTCTCTTTCTCTTTCTCTTTCTCTTTCTCTTTCTCTTTCTCTTTCTCTTTCTCTTTCTCTTTCTTTCTTTCTTTCTTTCTTTCTTTCTTTCTTTCTTTCNTCTTTCTTTCTTTCTTTCTTAATTGTGCTTTTGGTTTTGGGTACAAGTGGAGGTCATGCAGGATTATTGCATAGGTACATACATGGCAAGGTGGTTTGCTGCCTTCATCCCCCCATCACCTATATCTGGCATTTCTTCCCATGTTATCCCTCCCCAACCTTCCCCCACACACTATTTCTTTAATTGCAGGTTGAGATCCTTCAACCTACATGATGATGAAGACAGTCATGAAAACTGAGTACCTCACTGCTGGGGTCCAGAGCTAGGTCAGAGCCTCTCAACCTTGGCACCGTTTAGGCTTGATAGTTCTTTGTTGCAGGGGTAGGGGTCATGCTGTAGATTATGGAATGTTTAGCAATACCTCTAGCTTCTACCCACTTAGATACCATTGTATCCTTCTCTGCAGTTGTGACAACCATTAAATGCCTCCAGACATTGCCAAACGTTCTGTGCTAAGCAAAATCTCTCCTGATTGAGAACCACAGACTTAGCCAATTCACTAAAGCAGGACCCAATAAGTCAGTCCGGGCTAGGGGTGGATATGGCTGGATAGAATATGAAATCCTTAAATGCAAACTGGAATGTATGAAGGTTTACTTGGAGCTTCACATTTTATCTGAATAAGATGTGGAAGTATTTGGAATTTGTTCTGTTATTTATTGTCATGTAACAAACCACTCTAACATTTAGTGGCTTAGAACAGTGACAACATTAATTTTATTCACTAATCTGAAATTTGACCAGGGTTGGGTGAAAGAGCTTGTCTTTTGTCTGCGGGGGTGGCCCAAAAGCTGGGGGCTAGAATTATCTAAAGTCTCACTCACATGGTGGTTAAAGGCTGCCTGTCAATTGAGGTTTCAACTGGAGCTATGGCTGGAAGACCTACAAGTGGCCTTTTCATGGGGCTGCTTGGCTTTCTCACAGCATAGTGGCTGGATTCCTAGGGCGAGCATCCCAAGCGAGCCAGGAGGAAGCTGTATTGCATTTTATGAATTGGTCTTAGAAGTCACATTAGTGTCACTTCTACTGCAGTCAAAAGTTCACCCAGGTCCAAGAGGAGGTAATGTAAATCCTATCATTTGGTGGAGAGATGTCAATGTCACTTTATAGGAAGAGCATATGGGATGGTATGTACTGGTGCTGTCATCTTTGGAAAATACAATCTACCATAAAGTAGAAAACGCAGATCACATAGGATTGCTTACCTGGGGTCTACCATAGTGCTATCTAGGATTGCTCAAAGGAATGCCCCTGTCAATCAGCTGGGATATATTCATTTGAAATGCCAATTTCTGGACCTTTCTTTCAAGGATTTTCATTTGTCAAGTCAGCCGTGGACATCTGGTGTTTGATTTTTCTATAAGCCCTCAATATAATTTTTATTCAGGTTCAGAATGTTTTTTCTTTATGCTGATGCTTTAATCATTTACACATTTTTAGTACACATTTTCTTCCATGAGACAAGGTGGTCATACAGAGATAGCTTTGAGTGACGCAGCTGTTATGAAGAGCTACTTCAAATATTGCCTTTGGATTTGTAAAATGCACATATTACTTGTCAAAAGACACTTTGAAAGTAGTGTTGCTGATTGGGTTTCTGTGGACATTTGATCTGTTCTTGTTTCCATGCCATGTCAAAATGAAAAACGAAAAGAGATAACATTATAGTCTGAGTCAGGAAATTTGAAACTAGTTTTTAGTTTACTTTTTGGGTCAAATTTTAAATGCTTTTATGTTACATTTGAAAACTGTACTTTAGGCATCAAATGAAAAGCCAACATTTATAATGATGTAGTTGAAGATGTATCACAAGGAAGGATTCTTTGTAGAAACTTAAAAATGATGATGTGTATATTAATGTGGATTCTAGTTTTCAAGGAGCATTATGAAACTGTGGGAAATTAGTATAGGGACATTTCCCTGACTTACATGTTGCTGATCAAGCAGCTTCTGTGGCCTAAACTGTACTTGGGAAAGCAGAGTGTAAAAAGGCCTCCGTGCAATCACAATAGAAGTCAAAAATTCATACCTTTACTTGGAGTCTTTTTCTGTTAACTTGCATGAATTTCTGATAGCAGGGTTCCCAGCTCACAGCCAAGTAAAGCAGTGTGTTAGAATGAGTCAGAAGTTGATAGCTACAGTCAGGCACAATGAGAACTATAGGAAACTGAGGCCACAAAATAAAATGTAATAATTTCAAAGCGAGGTCGTTTTCAGAGTAGAGGAAACTCATTTTACATCTCACTATTTTTAGCCATGCTACATACTACAGAGGTATGTTTCATATATATTTCTTCACAATAAGTCTCAGTTTTTGAAAAGCCTAACTTATTTTAAATATATTCATTTTAAAAGATTAAGGAAATATTAAACAATTTCGGAAAATAATTATTTCAAAGTGGTTAAAGTAAAATAAGCTTTGATGCTTTTAATGGATAAACTTCCATTATTTATAAAATTAATTTTTGTGGATTACTGCATTTGCAGAAGATACTAGATAATAAGTGTTTATTTCTTGATGTACAAATTGGTGATTCTATTAAGATATTGTCTTTAAAATTTAAAAACTAAATTAAAAGTTTGGGTGTGATATCTTATGTGGCAAATGATATCAGCTTTTCAAAGTTATGTTAATATCAGCAAATGCTAACAAGGTGGGAAGGAGCGGCAGAACCACAGGGTCATCTGATCTACCCCCAAGGCCTTACTCCAAAATGCATCTCAAATGTGTTCACTTGTTTTTCCTCCACTGCCACCACCTTGTCCATGTTACCATCACCGTCATCTCTCCCAGCTGTATTTCTGTGATAGACTTCTGTCTCCCTTTTCTCTTGGCTGTCTCTAATTACTTCTTCATGCAGCCAACGCATCAAGTTACTTCCTTTTTTAGCCTGCTGTCATGGCTTTCCATTCTCTTTCAAATAAAACCCCAAGTCCTTACCATGTTCAAGGCCTCGCATGACTGGATTCCTGCTCACTTCTCTAATCCCATTCCATGACACTCCCCTTGGCTCACTCCTCTTTAGTTCCCTTGGCATTCTGTTAATACTTGGGCCTTTGCATACATAATTTCCTCCACCTCTTTCTCTCTATTCTTGGCAGAGCTAGCTGTTTATTCTTCAGGTCCCAGTTTAAAAACTGTCTCCTAGGAGAGGCCTTTCTTGACTTACCTACCTAATGTTGGTCTATGTCTCCCCAGAATTATTCTTTATTATGGTACAGCACTCAATTCCTTGCGGCCAATATCTTAATGTGTTTTACCTATTTATTTATTCCTTTTCTGTTTTCTTCACAAGCTCTATGAAGGGAAAGACCAGTCTGCTTTATTGAACACTGATAATGATGGGTGCCTGGCACATAGTAGGTACCTAATAAATATTTTTTTGAATTAATAGAGTCATGGGGCTGGGTGCGGTGGCTCATGCCCTAAATCCCAGCACTTTGGAAGGCCAAAGCGGGTGGATCACGAGAGGTCAGGAGATCGAGACCATCCTGGCCAACCTGATGAAACCCTGTCTTTAAAAGAAAAAAGAAAAAAATAAAATTATGAATAGTGTTCTATAAATAGATCAAGGGTAAGTACATGGGATATACATTGGAAAGTGTATGTGCTAATACAACTTGTCTATATGTTTAACAAGAATTTGGGTGATTCATAGATGCTCTATTCATATGCGCTTTTAGATGAGAAGTTTGTAGAGTTCATAACTAATTTCCACTATGATATTGTAAATGGCAGTGATTCTATCCTCCAAAGTTGACTTTGTCAGAGTCCGAGTAAGGCGATGAAGATACTTGGCTTGATTCAATCAAGTGCTATTTAGGAGAGTAAAGGGCATGAGAATAGGATATGGAGTGAGAATTATTAATTATGGTATCTCATTTACTCTCAAGGGTAATGAAGAAGTTATACCTGTTAATGTACTTGGTGGAATTTGAGGAGTTTTGTACTACATTGCATTCAACCATGTTCAGCAAACATGATTTTAATTACATTTCTTCATGATGGGCCTAGGCATGGTGGGGTGATACATAATAAAAATATACTATCACTTAAATGCATGAAGAATTTTCAGACCATTTAAAAGGACCTTGTTTAAATTTTTTGGGTGTGCTGAATGAATTGAAAAGTGGATGTAATTATATATGCTGTTAATTTAAATAGGTAAAGGTGAAAAAACATACTTGAAAAAGTCTTTTTACCCTGTATTTATATAGAAACATGTGATGACAAGACAGTTTTATTATAAAAGGAATGCATAGTAGGTCTTATGTAAAATAAAACAAGAAAGAAACCTTTAGGTGGCGGCCAAGAGCTGTGATTATGAATTCCTTAGTTTGTTTTTATGAAAGTTTATGATCTTGTTTGAAAGTGGTCATGTAAAACAGGCTATTTAAACCACAATAATTCAGTGTAAAGCAAACACAAGAACAAAATTAGGCATGTGAAGGAAATAGATGTGAATGTTAATGTCATCAAATAATCAATCAAATCTCAATTTTAATTTGATTTGACAGTTGGTGTCTTGATTATAAATAGTAGTTAGAGACCCAGTTCTAAGAAGATAAGGGTATTGATATTGAGTTACAGGATTAATAACTGTCAGCACTTAAGTAATTGTTTTAATTTTCATATGTCATCTTTAAACAAAATGGTAGCTTTTAAGAACTCAAAGAGTGTAATAAAGATGTCAAAACTGTCCAGATGCTTATTGTGCAATTGAAAGCTCCATTCAAAGTTGATACAGGCCCTAGAAGAAAGGTCAGCTATCTGACTCATTTTTGCAACATCTGGCAGAAGCTATGGCTTGTTGGAGTACCGACGTGTTCTTTTCCTTATTTATTGCTCTTGAAAAGAATGTTTTTGATTATATCTGCCACTCTGCCACGTGCCCCTTTCATTTCTTAAAAAAAAAAAAAAAGATTAAAATGTTTTTTAAAGGGCATTATGATTTTGTGATGACATGCACTAGTTTCAACTCTGTTTATTTTTTTCATCAGTATGCATTAATCTACTAAAAAATTAGGCATCACTATTACATATTGTTTTATAGTAATATTTATGTAAAAATTTCATTAATTCTGTTAGCATTTAGATTAATGATACTCTTTTTGATAAGGGTTTGTGACACCACAGACTAAATTTGGTAGTTGCTTCTAATTAGTGAGGGCTTTTTTGATGAAGTGTTTCTAGTTCAATTCTTATAACCTTGAGTAGTACACATTTAGCATTGGCTGTATACATACCCAGCGTCACAGAGGAGAGAAAACAGAGTAAATGCCAAACTCTGTACACAGAGTTGACAAGCTCTCTAGATGCAGCAAGAGAAGAGAAACAAAATACTATATTACACACCACATGTCAGTGTTGAGTAATAAAAGAGATGAGAAAGTGTGGGTTGATAGTAATAAAGAAAGCCTCCATAGGGAATATGAATAAACTAGTGAAGTTTCTCAATACATTAATGGGAAGTAAAGATTTTAATTCTTAAGAAACTCTAGTTCCGTTATTTAATGTAAATATTCCAAAATTATACTTTCACAACATAGATGCGAGTAGCATGGAACAGTTTCTTTTCTAAATATTTTTCACAACATTAATCAGTGAAGATGGTGACACCCTCTCTCTCAAAAAAAAAACAACTATTTAGAATATTGCTGAATTACATGGCAAGGTGCTCACAGAATTATCCAGAAATTATTTCCACCCTCTAGTAATTTACAATACAAAATTGTCTAGGAAGAAGGTTAGGCTAAAAACTTAGAAGTTTGCATCTATGGAATTATGTGACAGAAATGTAATATTTTTCTGTTGCCATGAATATTTTGAAAACAATATTCCCAAGGCCCAGAGATCAGGAGAGCCATCTCTAATCCTGACTCTTATAATATATATGATGATAAAATTGTGGTAGGGAGTCATTTCTCTGGAGGCATTTTCCTTCTCTGTGAAACCAAAGAAGAGAACCGGAAGATCTCCAAGTGTCCCCTCAAACCTAAAATGTTACATTTTATGCGTTGACAGAGTAAAGTAAGACTTTGTTTAACATTGTCAAAGCATAAATTGTTTTCCATCTGATAAGTAAACTCATGGCATAGTTTTAGTGAAAATTGCAGAATGATTCCCACTATCTATGAAGCCCCACACATAAGTCGAGAATGGTTCCCAACCAATGCTCAACCTACATGATTGTGTGTGTTGGCTCTACAATCATAGCAATAAAAATAAAGAAGATATAGATAGTTTCTGTCAAATAAAATTTTGTGTAATTGCAGTTAGTTTTTGAGTCAACTACACTGTCCCCAGAAAATCTGGTCTTTAATCAAGGTAAAAACTGTTAAATGCAAAAACAGTAAACTAAGAAAAACACAAAGAACCGATTTTCTTGTAGGCACAATTTACCAAGGCTGTTAGTGCTGTGAAACCAGTATATATTACAGTGTGTCAATATTTTTTTAATAAACTTACAAGACTGAAAATTTGTCAAAAATTCTAAAATAATGGATGTGTCTTTTTAGCACTTAATAAATGTAATCTGAATTAAAATGTAACTCCACATATGCCAAAAGCATAAAGAATCTGCCACTATGCAAAAAGACTTAGTGTATATGTATATAGCCATGAAGAATTAATATACTAGAATTTATATCTCTTTAGTTCAAAGCAATTCATTTAAATCTGAGTGGACTGTTTACCTTCACATGCAATCTACTATGCACGCTTTTGAAAATTAGATGAGTGTCAATAAAAGAAAGATGAACATCCAATTCCCAAAACTTAAAAAAAATCAATTCAAAGCATATGCCTATTTGATGATAAGAAATTGAAGAAAACCTCCATATTGTGTAAACTTTCACTATTCTGTTTTTCATATGAAATAAGCTGTATAAAATGATGGAAATGCCTTCTGTCTCCCATACCACACAAAACTAAGAGAAAAAACCTTTGTGTTCCATCTTCCTGCTACAATTGCTTCAGAAACCACAATTAATCTTGGGATACACCATAGTTCTGCCACTTGCTGGCAGACCATACAATGTGAGAAAGTTATGAGTGACAGCAATTCAGCAGGATGGCCTTGCTGATTTGAGTCTCACTCTTCACTACTTGATGTGGGTGAATGGATGATGCCTGAGGTAGACAGGTGTAGGAGATGGCAGATCTCACTGATTTTACTTCCCGTGAACCTATAAATGGGACAGATATTTATTTTTGTTTTTTTTAAAAGGCAGCCTGCTATTTAGAATGCGGTTTTCTAAGGCAACTTTTTCTTTTCCCCTTTACTATATTAAAGAAATACTTGAAATTGCTTTAATTATAATCCTTTGCATGAAGTCAGTGGGACAGGGATTTAAACAACTAGGGAAAAATAATACATAGGAGTGAGGAAAGAATGTCATCCAGGAACAATACATTTTTTTAAAAAGTTGGAACAAAATGCCAAACTTCTAACAGAGGGGTGGCAAAGAGAAGTAGAAAAGGTGGTCAGAATGAAAATAAACTAAAGTAAGTAAGAGGAGTGAAAGTCAGGACAATACAAAAATGGTTGCAGATTGAAGTGGGAAAGAGTGTAATGCACAAAAGCGAAGCTCGAGAAAAAATAATGAATGTAGAATAGGAAAGCGGCACAGAATGGAAAAAAGGAGGTCAGAAAAGCACAAAGGAGGCTGAAGAACAGCAAACAAAGAAGTAGTATCAAATGGAAAGGGAGCAAGTGTCTGGATTGTAAAGTGGGGGAGAAAACCACAGCACTGGGGAGGGAGGCGGCAGCAGAGAGAAGAGCCAGAGCAGCGGGAGGAGCCCAGTCATTTTGCTTTGTCTTCTGCAAGTGGAGTTTATGCCACTTGACTGGAGCTTGCAAATGGATGTGAATTATTTTACTGGCGTTCAAAGTCCCGCTGTAAGGTTGTCAGGAATTTGGCATGGTAGTGTCAGCCTTAACACAAGCCATCAACTTTCCTTCACGTTAAACCAAAGCAGCTGAATTTACATCCTTTTGCAGCTTGCAAGCTTTTTTCAAATGACATAAACTGGCAATAGCTAGACTTGAAAAAATTATGGGCATTAAAAAAAGAAAAATAATCTGTTTTCATTAAAGACAATCTTCTGCTCATTTACTTACATTCTTATTGCCTTAGTTTATCTTTTTTTTTTAAATCAAGTTTACTTAAATTTAGATGGTTTTATGAAAATTCCAAAAATTCTTAAAGTATGGAAATGCAGATTGCAACTACAAGGACCAAATTGCTAAAATAAACTATCAAATCGCTGTTTAAAAGGGCCCTTTGACTAAGTAGTCACTTATAAAATTGATTTTGAGAAGAAAAAAAGATCTGCTTAAAGCTGCAACTAATGACACCACGAATGATTTGCTACTTAGCAGGTCAAAGTGAATCAGTAGTTTCTCAGCTTTGAACTGGAACTAGAAACTAGATATATGTTCTTCTATTCTCTCCTCCTCCTCCTTAATAGCCTCTGAGTGAACTATCTACTGAGCAAAGTTTTATATCTTCAAGTTCAACTCTGGTTAGGTGTTCGCTTGTTTCTCCATGGGAACAAACACATTACCATGGGAACTGTGTAGCACAGAATATAGACAATACTGAAAGCTTTTAGGAAGAACCACGCTTATAGCACGTTGACTATGTAATGCAAGTACTAGCTGGGCGTTCCAATACCTAGGCTATTATGGCATCTCAAAAAGAATAACATGATCCTATGCCTTATCAAATGTTGGAAAAATAAAACAAAAGGAAACTATACTGTTTTCTCATTAGAGAAAATGCAAAGTTTTGTTTTCATTAAAAATGTTAAAAACCACAAAAGATATTAATTGTGGTAATTATTTCCATTGACTAAAAAAGTACATTTAGGCTTCCTCATATGATGAGCACTTTTTGCATGCTGACATGATCTTACATACCATATCAGCTTTGAGATGTGCTGGGTCTTAAGTCAGGGAAAAAGAAGTAAGCAAGAACAAAGGGTTAAGGACTAAGTGTCTATAAGTCGAGTGAGTCACCAGCATTCCAAATCATTATATCCCAGGGTAGTGGAAGTGCATTTCTGGGTCAGGAATTATTTATCAAGGGTTGGAATCTGGTGGGGAGGATTTGACAATAGGAATTGCAGGCACTGCTAGGGCTTTAGTGCTAGGCATGAGAAGAAAAGAGCCCATTTAGTTGGAAGCACAGCTCCAGCCAGTGTCTAGGGAACAGACTGTGAAGTTCAAGGCCAAATACTAGTCATGAGGCAGGGCCGCTGTCCAACAGGTGGTCGTTTAGCTTAGGGTGTGGAGTGTGGATGCCTACAAGAACAAGCATCCAACAGGGAAGTTTAGGTAACAGCATTGTTGGATAGGGAAGTGGCTGCAGCTTGCTGACACCCCACAGGCGCTCTGCATCCTGGGCTCTGGAATGCACGGTTTACTCCAGACTCTAGTTAATGATTGTGGCTAGAGCTTTTAATATATTGCCTGGTTGCATTAACATCATTAACCTTGACTCGGAGCATAGGTGAGGCTGGCAGCAACTGAAAATAAAAAGGAGACCTGATTTGCTGAAGTTTAACCCACAATAAGACCCCTACATTTAACGTTGGTACACTTGTAGATAGTGTACTGACTACACTACCTACTTTCTGTACATAAGAAGAAGCATTTGCAATTCATTGGCAAAGGAAGAATGCTCATGCAGGCCACACATTTGGTTCCATATTCTCAATAGTATGCCATCATAGCAATTACTGCATATTACCTTGAGGTGAGAAAATGTCTGATGTGACATCAGTCTCTTTGATAAAAGCAGTGAAATAAATTTCAATAAAAGAGCTAACACTTTTTAAAAAATGTTCTTAGGTGCCATCTCCTTACCTTGTATTTTTTAGAGTCCTGTGGTGGCTGTTTGGCAGAGGCTCAAAGCTATTGTAGGGAAACAATTTGAACTGAACTGTGTGGCTCATGATGTCTGAGATCAGCAGACTGGCAACTCTTCAGCTTTCAGAAATAATGTGGTCATGCTGTGTGTGTCTCATTGCACTTCTGGGTTACAGTTCATTTAGTTTTATGGAATAAAATAGGTTTCCATGTAAAATCGCATTTTCACCTGTAAATTAGAAGCAAATAAAACAAAATTAATTTTGATGTAAAAATCTGGTCTTCCCTGTAACCCGCACGTAAATTCCCCATGTTATAATTAGAGAAATGCGCTTACTAATATAAGACAAAAGACACACAAAAAATTGGCAATTGCCACTTTAAAAGGAAGTAGAAATTCAAAAGAGGAAGGTGTGAGGTTTAAGAAAATATTGGAATTAAAAATCATACAGGCAAACTAAGAAAGAAGGAAAATAAGCTGATATTTTTATTTTATTTCTACAGTATAGAATTTAATACAATGTGTATTGTCCCTCTTATGATTTGGAAGTTGAAACAAAACTAAAGCAATGTGTTAGATTCCCTCCTTATGACCCTGTTCAGAGCAGTCAGGTAACTTAGTTCCCTCTTTCTGAGCACATTTAAATGTAAGTTATTTAAACATAAAGATTGCTCTTAAGAGTTATTTAAGCACAAAGATTGCTCTTAACCAAATACCACCTCAGTGGTAGATGGGTACCTATCTGACAAAATACATTGTTTATTATTTCACTTTATTAACTTGTGAGTAAAGAGAATGTTTGCCAGTTCTAATATGGGAGGCACAGTACTGGGGCTGACCTCAGCACTCGGGGTACAATGCAGAACACAGCATGGTAGGTGAGAGCGATAGTTAAATGAATAATGACAATATAGTGCATTAGGAGTAGGTATGAAATGCTGTGAAAGATAAATAAAGCTGGACACTAAATAAAATGGCGAGAATTAATATATATGATTACAATAGGGAAAAGAGTGCAATGTGAACTAAGTTCAACTTTGACCTGTACAGAGGTGACTGGATAGAATGAAGGAGGAGGGAGAAGGGTGAGTGGGACTCTACAGAGTTTTTCAGGAAAGTGAAAAATCACAAAAATCAGGAAAAGAGGTTAGTCTATGTGAAACCCATCTAGCTTTGTTCGCTGGTGTTTATCGAAGTTCGGCCCCTCTCCTCCCACAGAAACTGGAAAGTGGGGGCCTGGTCTTCAGGTGTTGGCTGGAACAATGGGAAATTCTTTTGGAAGCCTTGAGTGTTATGAGGCTGGCATTTAAAGCAGGGATGGGAGTAGGCTCATTCTAAGGAAACAACGCTGAGCTGTTAGAAACTGTCTTATTGTTTACTCAACCTAGAAAGGCTAAGCTTGAGGCCTAGTCAACAAGAGAACTCAGAGTAGCCTGACTAGCCCTTAGTCAAGGTGATAACCTTTGCTCATACTAAGGAGAAAGGTGTCTGTGTGAGGCATCTGGAAACTTCACATCAGAAACCTCTTCAGAGGCCTAATAGGTTTCTCAATAGACACAGAGAAATGCGTGGGGCCAAATGATACGTCCTATAGCAGGAATAGAATTGTAAATATGGCTTGTAGAGTGGCAAGAAATAAGATCAAAGGGAGTAAGATTGTATCAGGTGAAGATGGCCGAATAGGAACAGCTCTGGATTGCAGTTCCTAGGGAAAATGCAGAGGGCGAGTGATCATTGCATTTCCAAACAAATTTTTACTGCCCACAGACTAGGAGATTCCTGGGCGGAAAAGCGCCATGAGTCTCCAGCATGGCTGTTTCAGCTGGCACAGCAGGTCTCCACACAAAACTCACACAAATCCGGGTGCCCTTTCAACTGGCGACTGGAATGTCTGGGAGACAGAGTCACCTGTTCAACTGAAAAAATGTGGGCTGAAACAGGGAGCCAGGTGATCTGGTGCTGCTGGTCCCACCCCCACAAAGACCAGCAATCTGAAACACTCTGCATTGAGTTTCACAGCAAGCACAGCTGGTCCCAGGATGGTCCAGCTCTGTGGGGGGAAGGGTGTCCACCATTACTGAGGCAGTCTACCACTACTGAGGCAGTCCGCCATTACCAAGGCAGTTTGCCATTATGGAGGCAGTCTGCCATTACTAAGGCAATCCGCCATTATAGAGACTGTCCGCCATTACTGAGGCAGACCGCCATTACCAAGGCAGTTCTAACTATACCTCTATAAACAAAACTGGAAGGAAGTTCACACAAAAGCTGGGCAGAGCCCACGGCAGCTCAGCAATGCCTTTGCTGGCAAACTGTGACTAGGCTACCTCCTTGCTGGGCAGGGCATCTCTGAAAAAAGGCAGCAGAATGACAGGAAATTCTAAATAAAGCCCCACCTTTCCAGGACAGAGCACCCGGGAAAAAAAGGTGGTTATGAGTTCCGCTGCAGCTGACTTAAACACACCTGCCCAGCGGCTCTGAACAGAACAACGGAGCTTACATCTCAGCACTTGAGCTCCTATAAGGGACAGACTGTCTCCTTAAACAGCTCCTCGACCCCTGTATAACCAGAGACCCTTCATAAAGGAGCGCTCAGGCTGACATCTGCTGGGTATCCATCTGGGACAAAGTTAGCAGAAGAAGAAACTGGCAACAACCCTTACTGTTCTGCAGCCACTGCACGTGATCCCCAGGCAAGCAGGGCCTGGAGTGGACCTCAGCAGCCCTACAGCAGAGGGGCCTGAATGTTAGAAGGAAAACTAAGAAACAGAAAGAAATAACTTCATCAGCAATAAAAAGGGTGTCTACTCAGAGACCCCATCTGAAAGTCACCAACCACAAAGACCACAGGTAGATAAATCCACCAGCACAAAAATGATGAAAATACCCACAACCAGAATGCCTGTCCTCCTCCAAGGGACCACAACTCCTCACCAGCAAGGGAACAAGGCTGGATGGGGAATGAGTCTCATGAATTGACAGAAACAGGCTTCAGAAGGTAGGTAGTAACAAACTTCTCTGAGCTAAAAGATCACGTGCCAACCCAATGCAAAGAAACTAAGAACATTGAAAAAAGGTTTGATGAAATGCTAATGAGAATAAACAGCTTAGACAGGAATACAAATGAATTGATGGAGCTGAAAAACACAACACGAGAACTTCGTGAAGCGTACACAAGTTTCAATAGCTGAATCAACCAAGCAGAAGAAAGGATATCAGAGATCGAAGATAAACTCAGTGAAATAAAATGAGAAGGCAAGATTAGAGAAAAAAGAGTAAAAAGAAATGAACAAAGCCTCCAAGAAATATGGGATTATGTGAAAAGACCTAATCTACGTTTGATAGATGTACCTGAATGTGACGGAGACAATGAATACAAGCTGGAAAACATTCTTCAGGATATTATCCAGGAGAACTCCCCCAACCTAGCAAGGCAGGCCAACATTCAAGTCCAGGAAATACAGCGAACAACACAAAGATAGTCCTCAAGAAGAGCAACCCAAAGACACATAGTTGTCAGATTTACCAGGGTTGAAATGAAGGAAAAAATGCTAAGCAACCAGAGAGAAAGGTCAGGTTACCCACAATAGGAATCCCATCAGACTCACAGTGGATCTCTCAGCAGAAACCCTACAAGCCAGAAGAGAGTGGGGGCCAATATTCAACATCCTTAAAGAAAAGAACTTTCAACTTAGAATGTCATATTGAGCCAAACTAAGCTTCATAAGCAAAGGAGAGATAAAATTCTTTACGAGCAAGCAATTACTTGGAGATTTCATCACCACCAGGCCTGCTTTATAAGAGCTCCTGAAAGAAGCACTAAACATAGAAAGGAACAACCAGTACCAGCCACTCCGAAAATGTACCAAATGGTAAAGAGCATTGACACAATGAAGAAACTACATCAACTAACAGGCAAAACAACCAGCTAGCATCAAAATGGCGGGATCACATTCACACATAATGATATTAACCTTAAATGTAAATGGGCTAAATGCCCCAATCAATAGACACAGACCGACAAATTGGATAAAAAGTCAAAACCCATCAGTGTGCTGGATCCAGGAAACCCATCTCACATGCAAGGTACACACAGGCTCAAAATAAAGGGATGGAGGAAGATCTACCAAGCAAATGGAGAGA